GTCGGCTTGGCACAACTCCAAGAACTGAAATGGGGCTGTTGTGCTGTTGAATGGCTTAAGAACAGAAGGTATTCTGGACACAGGGAGTGTCATAAGCTTGCTTGATATGACCATGGTAGAGGAGTTTGAGTTGACAGTAGCTGAAACAGAAGAAGTGAAATGTCTGGCTGTCAATGGATCTGATGCAAATCTGGATAGCCAGGTGGAGGTGGTGTTGGAAGTGGGCTAGACCAGGGTTGTACACCTGTCATATGCGTCTTCAGGACTCACTGACCCCTTGCTCATTGCGCTGGATCTCCTGAACAAGCTGGACGTGGTCATCGACTGCGGCACTGGCGAACTCTTGGTCGGAGGTGAGCCTGCGGAGACCTGCCAGTTTCAAGAAGTTTCCATCAGATGTCCTGCTGCCTGTGCTGCACGGTCTCAGACTTTCATCCAGGTCAGCAGACTGCTTAACCTGCAGACATAGCTGTTCGAGCCAGCTGGGCTTCCTGGAGTGAAGATAGCACCTGCTCTTCATTTGAAGCATCAAGAGACTCCAGTCAGGATCCTGAATGTGGGAGATGAAGATGTCATCATCCCAGCAGGCACAGTGCTTGGAGCTCATGAGTCAGTGGCTGAGCTGAATCAGGAACCGAAAAGAAGTGAGAGGACCACGGAAGAAACCAGAACGGGTCAAGATGAGGTGGAGGGACCACAGCTGCCTTCACTGGATCGCCTGAGTGAACAGGAGAAGCCGTTCCAGAATCTTCTGGAGGATTATCAGGATGCGTTCTCCCAGTCAGCTGAAGACACCGGAGACTGCCAAGGGACTCGCCAGCTGGTCATCACCTCGACAGGGGCCCCACCTGTCCGCCAACGGGCGTATCGCACGCCACTGCACCTTCGAGGACAGCTGAAGGAGAATCTGAATATGCTGCAGGAGCGAGGAGTGATTGAGGATTCAAAGTCACCGTGGTCGTCACCTGTTGTGATGATCAGGAAGAGGGACGGAGGAGTCCGATTCTGCTGCGACTACCGAGCGGTGACTGCAGTCATCAAGCACGATTGCTACCCCCGCCAAGGATCGGAGACCTTCTGGAGGCCACGAGGGAAGCCAGGGTCTATTCAGTACTCGACCAGCGATCTGCCCACTGGGCTGTGCCCACCGCTCCGGAATCCCGAGAAGTAACAGCGTTCATCACCGAGTATGGACTGAAACAGTGGACACGTCAACCGTTTAGGCTTAAGACGAGCCCGGGGATGTTTCAACGGATCATGGAAGATGTGTTGGACGGTTTCAACTGGGAAACAGAAGTGGTCTACTTAGATGACGTCCTCGTATACAGCTCCTCGATGTCAGAGTGCCTGGAGGTGCTGAAGCAGCTGCTGGACCGGTTCCGCCAAGCAGGGTTGAAGCTGCATCCCAAAAAGCGCCAGCTGGCGGTCACGAAAGTAACCTTCGTGGGGCATCAACTCGACGAGATGGGGATCCGTCCCACAGTAGACACGGTAGAAGCGGTGAAGGACTGGCTCAGACCAAGCAGCGCCAAGCAGCGCAGCAGCGTCAGTTTCTGGGTCTGGTTGGCTACTACCGACAGAATATCCCACACTTCAATGACAAGTCAGTGCATCTGACCAACCTGCTGCAGGAGACGAACTTCGAGTGGGCTGATGACTGCGAGATCGACTTCCAGACACTGAAGGAGGATAAGCGACGTCGAAGTATCATCCCTATCTGGTGGGAAACCGTTCCTACTGAAGACCGATCACGAGGCGATAAAGTTCCTGCACCGCTCCAAGTCACCTTCAGGCCGATTGTTCCGATGGATACAGCAGTTGCAGCAGTACGACTACATCGTGGAGCACGTGGCAGGTCGGCTGATTCCGCATGTGGATGCGCAGTCCTGCATGTTCGAGACAGACACGAGGAAGCACCAGCTGCGACCGACTGCGCCGGAGTTCGTACCGGAGGAAGGCTTGAGAGCGACTCCCGATGTGATGCTGCGCCGCTCAACAGTCGTGGACGCACAAGAGCCATCCACGGAAGACGAGAAAGGTGGCGATGCTACAGAAGACGTCCTGAACATCAATCATCTCGACGACCTGGCTGCAGCGACATGGACAGATCCTGTGCTGTGCCAGGTTATCTGTCACCTGAAAAAGCAGCCAATGAAGACGGACAAGTTGACAGACACCCAGCAAGCAGAACTGAACTTCTACAACGGACTGCCTGGCTTGAGGCTACACAACGGAGCGGTCCTGCGGAAATCGAGGGGACATCAAAGAGCGCAAGTGATCCTGCCGACAAGTGTCTGACAAAGAGCGCTGCATCTGACTCATGACCTCCCGATGTCAGGGCATGGAAGTGTGAGGCGAACACCGCACCGTGTGACAGCCGGTTTCTTCTGGTACAACGTACAGCGCGAGGTGAGGCGGCACTGTGAAAGCTGCACTTCTTGTCTGAGGACGAAACCGAAGTATGCAGGCCGCAAGGAGGGAAGAGGAACCATACCGGTAGAGGGCGAGCAATTTCTACACTGGTCAGCGGACATCTTAGAACTACTGGACAGCGAGCGTGCTCACAAGTACGTTTTGGTCATAACTGACAAATTCGGCAAATGAGTAGAAACATTTGCATTGCAGAGGCCGACTGCAGAAGAGATGGCGCGAAGTGTCGTGCAAGTCATCTGCCCGTTTGGCGTCATGAAGACTCTGTTGACCGATCAGGGACGGAACTTCGAGGGTGTCCTCATCAAATGAGTCTGCCAGCTGCTGGGAGGGAAGAAGCTGAGAATGACAATCTACCATCCGTGCTGCAACGGGCAAATGGAGCGAATCAACAGGTCGTTACTGGAACTTATGACTCACTACGTGACTGAGAACCAACTCGACTGGGACCTGTGGCTGCCGGTGGTGACATCTGCTTACAACTCTGGTTGCCACAGTACGACAGGATTTTCGCCGGGAGAAATGGTCTACGGGAGACCAATGCGAACTGTTCTGGAAGACGAATTCGACGTGGACAGCATCAAAAATCAGTCTCATGGCCAGTTCTTGGTGCAGCTGATGAATCATGAAAAACGCGCATCAGAAGGCGCTGGACCTGGTTTAGTGAAGGCAAAGCCTTCGCACCGAGACAAGACCGGCAACCTTTCAGCCAAGCGACACAGTGTGATGTCGTAACTTCACAGCAGGAAAAGGTGTGACCGCAAAACTGAAGACAAAGTTCGAGGGGCTCTATCTCGTGCTGGAGGCCCGACCGCCGGATTACTTGCTGAAGAGGGGGCGGGGACAACGGCTCGTACACGGCGGACATCTGAAGAAGGGAGAGAAGCCCAGATCTGAGAGAGGCCGTGGTGGAGATTGGAGCTGGAACTGACTACATCGACACTGAACTGAACTATACTGGAGGGAACAGAACGGATGATCTGACCGGAGAGACACGGGTGACGACAACAACGACCCTCGACGGCAGCAGAGGAGAAGCTGGGACCGAGTTTGTTCAAATGGATGGATTTGCTTGCATCCAGGATCAAGTGCCGGAGAGCGGGGAACAGCTGTAACGAAAAGCAGACGACGCAGAGCTCAGCCAGACGGAGCAGCTGGAACCGGTCGCGGTGACGGCCGGAGACGCGACGGTCGACGAGACGACATCAGTGCCTAGTGACGCACTGGAGAAGGCCGCTCATCGCAGGAAGCCGATGGACGGCCTGAGCGGAGTGGGACGAGACCAGCAAGCGGCGACACCGAAGCAGGCAGAACAGGAGTCGCATGTCCGGTGGTGCCCTCTGGAGCTGACGATGAAGTGTCGGTGGCGCGACCTGGTACGGAGTCCGCGGAGAGGCGATGCCGGCGGCGACCGGATCAACGCGGACGAGACGCGGTTGTGACGTGCGATGACCGAGGCGGTACCTCGACTAGTCACGGACCTACACGTAATAAGAGTTGTGGGGTACAGGGTTATTTCGTCTAACGCGGGGATTGTGCTGATTTGTGGAAGTTTGACGATTATGCTTTTTGTGATGTGCCGTGACATTGTGAACTTGGAAGTCAGAGTCACAGTACTCTACCTAGTGAGGTTATTTTTCGTACCCTACGTCTAGTTTAAGGTGAGGGGATGTTACGACCAAGCTTAGCGGTTAGGTGAGGTGCATCCTCGACGAAGAACGAGGTCAGCTGGTTGTAATGCGCGGTAGACGGTGTACTTTGTTGTGCACCACTTATAGCTTGGGTTTTGCGAACAGCTGGTTTCACGGGTCGGCAGACGAAACGGGAAAGTTTTGCCCAATACGCGAGCGCATGAAATTTCGCACGGAGGCTTGGAGCTGTCCGAGGTGATGTGGGCGTCCGGCGAGTTTCGCGGGTGAGTTCGCTCTGGCTGGTGCATCGGGAAGGCGTGTCGTGAATAGAAGACCGGGGCAGAAGAATTTCAGAGTTCTTCTCGGAAGGGAAACGCACGATGGCAGCTACCAACAAAGCTAGTTAACGAAGCATTACATATTTCATGAATATCGTGCATTTCGACACACATGACTTCACCAAAGAACACAAGTCTGATAACATGACACTGCCTCCATGCCACGTTCCTATTGATTATTCACTTTTGATGATTCTGTCCTCTGACATCAAGGATTGTTCAAGTGGATGGATCCATTTGGTAGCTGCCATCATGCGCTTCCCTTCCGAGAAGAACTCTGAAATTCTTCTGCCCCTACAGGCCTAACATGCATAAACAATCCGTGTTCAGGCAATCTCAGGCCAGCCAAACAATTTATGCATGATATAAGATGCCTCAAAAGTAATCAAATATCTGCAACAGTCTATTGGCAAGTGATTCAGATGTGACTGGTTTAATTGGCCTGTTGCTGATGGAATAATTGTATATGCCACTGTCTTTGTCTTTATCTTATCCAAGCACTCAACCACACCCAACCACCACATCCAACCGGCAACAGTACGAGGAGCTGAGTTGACTGCATCCATCACTGATCCCTTACATGAAATTGAACTTAACTTACCATTTCATTCTTGTTGTTGGTTAAGTAGGATGCCAGGTACTTGATGTGAAGCTGGTACAGCAAGCATTTCCCAGCATCCTCCTCACCACTTTGCTTTTGTGATCCAAGTATCTGACTCATCCTTGGATTTGCAATGTAATTTTGCCTGAAAGCCAGCTGTTAATTGTTAGGTACCTAGAACACAGCATGCAACAGTGTACAAATATATGTTTTACATATAAGTTAAGCCAAAAGTTGCATTGGAGGATGTTCTTCTTTGGACACTTTCCTACATATTGTATCAACAAATATGCAAAACAGTATGCTAGCTCATTTATTTCACTGCTGCCCATCATGACAGAGTGATCAAATATGTTGAAAAATCATTTTATGCAAGCAGTCAGATTGAGGCTAGAACACCCAGATAATGTACTATCTTTCAGCAGTGTTTTATAATCATCATCTTGTACAACTGATTGTGACTTTTCACAACCACTTCAGTCTAATGAAAGTTCAGTTATGTGAGGGAATGCTCCACACATGAATGTATTACAACAAACATCGGATATGATAACATAAGCTCACTTAAGACTATTGGTACACTCTTGAGATGAAAAGGCTGCTCCGGACAACACAATTTCACTGCTAAGCAAATATACTTCTCAATGCATCATTGCTTAGTTATGCCACTAAGCCTTGCACAACACTGATTGTAAGCAAATTGATGGTTATTTTATGTGGAAATTATGGTCATGAACATCAGTCTCAACAACTATATTTTCTTGGCTCTGGTAATCATTGCTGCATGACTAATGGAATGGTAGGATTTGAATTATGCTGTTATGGTGACATGGATGCCTGGGTGGCAATGTCATAGTCTTTCTGAAAGTCTGCACATCTTTTGCAGTGCATAGCTCAGAAACCAGAATGGTTTAGGCTTTATGAACAGGGTTGCCAACTGAACCAAGTGATCTTCGCAACATTCATTTACTTGTTTAATACCCCATACAAATGTAGAATAATCCCTTTAACATACACAACCATTAAGATGGTGGTTTTGCTGATAAATAAATCAACAAGCACATACACCATGTGACAATCTGAGTTTGGTTAAGAATCATGCAATGCTTTCTATTTAGTAATAGGTTTGTTATTTAAGACTAAAGGGCATAGGCACTAAATGCACTTATAACTAATACATTGGTCTATAAAACATCCACCTGATGTACCCGGTGCCTCAGTTGCGTTGATGTGTCAAACGTATTCCTAAGTGTATATTCAGGTTCACAAACAAAATGTTTTGACATTATTGCCACGACATCATATCTATATCAGACATGTGCAACTTAAGATACATTGCTTGCAGCTTGGCATGCATACAAAGTGACTTTTTTGTCCATACTCACCTGCACCCTTGAAACAAATGTATGGTGACATGAAAATGGTAAACGATTGACCACACATGTTCATAATTTGGTTTTATTCAAGGCAGTGCACATACACCCTCCAAATCGGAGGGCAGTTATGCACTGGGTTTATACACCCTCCAAAATGGAGGTAAACCATGCACGGGGCCTACACGATGATACACCACCACCACCCCCACAACAAAAATCTGCAGATTTCACAAATTACTTACTGAAATAATGAAAAGCTAGAGTTACAAGTCAAAGAAAACAGGTGATATTGGCTACAGACATCAGACAGTCACCCAACTATCTTCATCTAATTAAAGACAATTTTCCGTATTTCTGAATTGTAGGACTTTGAGCCCAGGGGCGCAGCAGCCGGGTGATTAGCTCATCTGACTCCCCCCCGCAATTAGCCCGGGATCTAATCCCTACGACGTTACGGTCCTTGAACAATAAGGTCACAAGTAGGGATGCCTCATCTCATGACATTTGAATGGTGACATCATTATTCAACATATCGTGACTCTCTCAAAAGAAAATATGCGCAGTGATCACATCACAACCGTCCTTGAAGAAACCTCTCCCTCCCTTATTTGGGCTCCTCAAAGAAAGAAGACCAAATTCGAGGAGAAACTTGCTTGTTACCGCAGGTTTAGGGGGTACTTTTGTTATTTTCCACTTTTGCCTCGCCCCCGAACTCTGTTTGTCCTTGATACCGGACTGTCGTAGAACGAAAGTGACTGATCCTAAGCCTGAAGTGTCATTCAAGTGACCGCGAAGAAACCTTAAATGGAAGCACCGCAAATCCGATATGGGACACGAAGGGTCATTGAGGTGGCGCGGGTCGGATCCTCAAATACCAGCCAGAGGGCCCGTTGCACCGATTGGACCCCGGCCTGGGCCTGGGAGCCCATTTCCCAAGCAGGGACAAAGTCAGGAGCAGCGATTTACATTGGTCAGCGCACCCCGAGCCAATGATGGGCCCCTGTGTACGCCAGAGGCACACTGCGCCTAACCGGAGGTCCGATGTTGACAAGGTCCCCGAGTTAGTCAGGGAGTGTACGCAGGTGCCCGAAGAGTGTTTGATGTACCCTTCAAGACTGGTGATCAATGGCTCGATGGGAAGGCTGAATGGCCGTAAGGGTTAAAAGGCTGCGGCTCATCCTGGCCCGTATGGCTGTGACCCCCGATGTCAACCAATACGCCTCTTTCGCCGATTGTGGACCCCTGGGACAATACGGGCACTTATTTCGGCCGGAGACCACTACACCGAATAGTCGACTCCGTGTTGTTCTGAGCCCTGGGGCCCCCATTTCTCTGGCAGGAACGAGTCCAAGGCCCGCGGCTCGCATTGGTCGGAGTCCCTACTACAGTGAGTGGTCTTTGGACGGGTCACGCCTCCGGATGTTCAATGGGGGGGGGGGGGGGGTCCAGTGCCGGAATAAGTCCCGAGTCGGCCAGGGGTGACCCGGGGCCCTTGCGGGGCCCTTCACCCCGTTTTAGCCAACAACCTGTCGGCCAAAGACGGGTCTTTGTGCCATTTATTGGACCACCTGCAGTTATCAGGGATGTTGTTGCACCAATGAGGGCTCTTGCGCCTATCCCGGGTCAAATGCCCCGGTCAGAAGCCGCCAGAGGCCCTTCCGCGCCAAGGAGCGGGGGGGGGGGGGTGCCAATGTAGCAATGTAGGATGTACATCTGTGTGGGCCTTTGGAGGAACCCATCAGGCGAACCCGCCACCATGTCGCCGGAATCGCAGCTGGTAAGCACCCTGGGCTGGGACAGAATGATGTTTAAGGAGTTGCCTGAAAGGGTCATGTGCACCTAACTTTTGACTAACTGATTGTGACTTACAGTTGAACATTCACCGATGAAAAAGGACTGCTTATGTTTACAAAAGTTGCTGGCCTCATTTAGATTTAGGTGAACGTGCATGGGATCCTCAACGTCTCTGTTGAGTGTGGACACCCCCCCCCCCCTTGATGACAGAAGAAACTACGCTTCTGTCAGGTAAGAAAAGTCCAAGTTAGACTATTCCACTTAGGAGTGAAGCAGGTTGGCATCATCACGCCACACCAAAAAAAACATGAAGCCACCCACTCAACAGTGTTCATCATCAAGATTCAAACCCAGGCCAACCGCCTACCAGACCAGCACGCTAATCATCCATCCACTGCGGACGCGGGCCCGGCGGCCAAAAATTCGTGAACAAAAGGACTGACTCAGAGTGGGTTGATGGGTTTCGCGATTGTCTCATGCGTACAACATATTGCGCCAACTTTTCGCACCAGATCCTGCACGTTTAGATGTGCTTCCCTCCAAGACTGGCAATCTGCATATGCTTGATGCATGCAACCATCTGAAATATTTTTGGAGAGTGTATAAGCCTGGTGCAGAGCCATCCTCCATGTTGGAGTGTGCAAGCTGGTGTGTAACTGCTCTCCATTTTGGAGGGTGTATAAGCATAGTCTTTATTCAAATTTGTAGCATAAACTTAACTTTTGAATGTTTTCACAAGAAACAAGTTGGCAATAACAGCTATTTCCCACACATTGATAAAAAGCATATTCTCAGCTCACAAACTGGCACACAGCTCCTACCCTCCTCTATAGTTAATAACAAAGAAACCTGAAACATGCCGCTCCACACAAACCAGAGCTGTTAACAGTATCTGAAATTTGGTTTGGGCTCTTGGGAAATAGAACAAAAATGTTAAAGTCATGCCTTGTAGTGCGAACAAAATAACCCAAGAGAATTTGTACTATATTTAAAGTTGGCACCAAAGGCCATTTTTTGGCAGCAGATGACAGGAAGCACCATGCTCTAGCTGGTCTCAGTGATTGCCAAAGACCATTAGAGATTAGCTGCTTGCAATTCTTAAATGTTCTAGCTTCCTAAGTGTTTCCTTGGTTGTGGCATACATTGCTACCTAATGCTAAAAAGAGCATTGCATGTGAGTCATTGCTTTTTAAGGCAGAGCATTTAGGAAATAATCATAAAACAGGTCATCTTAACTCTCACCTTGCACTCTAAGTAACTGCACTAGCGAACATCCGAGCACCGCAAACACGCAGCAACCGCGACCCTGGCTCCATTGCTAAGTGTGATAACATTACTGCCCATCAAGAACCATAATAATGTACCCCGCCAAAGGAACAATAATTTTTATGAAATATGTATCTTGCATATCCAAGCAGTCTTCCATACTGTTTGTAGTTTGGCCACCATGGGAGCCAGTGGGGTGTGTGCAATGCTCTGCAGCTCTGTATCATAATTATTAATATTCTAAGGTAGGAGCATGAATCTACCTGTTTTATGATTATTCATATGTTCTGCCTAAAACATGACAAATGATGTACAATGCTCCTTTTTAGCATTAGGTGCCAATGTAGACATATGCCAATGATTTTGTTGTAAAGGTGTCAGTCCCAATAAAGGCTGATAGAAGCAGATGCTTAAGATGTTGTGCACCTGTTGCACCATTCCCCAGAACACATAACGCAGCGTTGGAAAACATGACATTTCCGGGTGTAATGTATACCAGGCAATTTTGTACTCAATGGTTGAGACTACATAAAATAACATATGTTGTACTCCTTCACAATGCAACAAGAACAGCTTTTGGAAAGACCCATTTTACCTCTTTGTGTCAGGACAAAATAAAAGCAGAAGGAGCAAAAGCTTGAGACTTGCTGCTTGCATCAGGAGCCATGTATTTATACCTGCAAGAGCACAAATCTTGCACCCACCAGACTGAGGTGCCCAATAGCAGGCAACCTGTGTTGCCACGTGGGTGTATGATAGACTATGTACGGAAATGTGAAAAATAAAGCGTGTGAATGTGAATGGAATCGCCTTTGAACAAAACCCGGAAATGAGAAAAGAGGACCAAAATCGCACCGGTCTGTATGTTACCAAAGCTCTCATTTCCTACGCCCTACAAAGACCAATTCAAACCTCAACATGACCTAACCTACCACTGACGACGAACCACATTAATTGCCAAGGATGCAACAAACATTCAGAGAAAACCGCACACCCAGACACCTACCGCATGCATCCGCCAACCCCCCCTACACCCAGGACAACGCGACACCGGGTACTCCAAAGTTTTGACTAGTAGGTATCGACAGCCTTGGTATCGACACCTACTATAAGTATACCAGAATCGGAATTAACATCAGATTAAGGATGTTGTACCAAATATTGGCAGTGCTGTGCTAGCGGCATCTTTGGTTTGTTTGTTGCGATTAAGTGTAATCACGTTTCTCAGTCGCACCCAAGGCTGGTCCGAAAAAAGGCAACATCGAGCTTGCGTGAGAAAAGAGGTAATTTGGAAGCAGAGCCTGCATGACGTCAAGTATACCATATTTGATGACGTCAGTGGCACGGAGGCCTCTCAGTTAGTCAGCTGACTGTACCACAACCCATTAGTTTGAATGGTGAGTGTATTTTGGTGGGGTGCGGCTGGCAGTTCCCCGTTGGATTGAGAAGCAATTATCCATCATTTCGCTATTCACACACATTTCTGGAATGAACACTGAGTCCTAGAACAGTTAAGCCTCATTAGAGTGTACGGTTTTTGCATTTATGATGATAAAGCACGGGGTTATATGTCGTGCGGCGTTTGTGGTGTATTGCATTCCATGACCAGGCTTGTCCAAGGCTGGCTTGTCGTTAGAGAGCCTCAGGATTGGCATCAGGGTTGCCTGCCTTTCGTGCCTGTTGGCAAAGTTGAACAGCTCAACTTGCAGAATTTGCTCTGTCTATAGGTATGATTATACAAACAGTTGCATTATTGATTTTTTACAGCTCCCACCCTTAATATCACAATGATGTAAATACAGTAAGGTAAGTATGGTAAAATCCTATGATATGGGCCTCATAGTGCTACAGTCAGCTGTGTTTTTGTGCTCCATGGCTAGCACATTTTTGTTCATGTGTACGTGTATGTTTGCATATATTGCAATCATTGCTAGCACTTAGATAAGTAATCAATATGGCGTGTTGCCACCTAAGCCTTTGCTTTGCAGTGCTCTAGGTAATCGCTCAAAATGTTTTTTCTGGCCTGTGCATCACTGCAACAATGGCTCTCAGTTTCTTAAAATGCCCTCAACACCCCCTGCCATGTTTTTTTGATCACTTAACTCCTGATGTGTATAAGCAACTCTGGGTTCATGAATGTGAGTTAAGACAGAATAAGTCCATGTAACAAAATGTCAGCAAAAATTGTGTGTGTCACTTAAACTGAAAAATTCCCATACAGTTTTCTACTATAGATCAATGTCCCTGGAGGTGAGAAGAAAAGATGCATAACACATAGTATTCTGTTGTCACTGAAACTGCTTGGCTGCTCAATGAAGTGGTGAGCCATGTTGAACATCACTTTGTTATGGAAAAACTGTCAAGAATTTGTGCTTAAAATGACAATACACTGTGTTCTCATGTGCTTATTGTGATTTTGTGTTGCAAAGGCCATGCTGATGTCCCTGCAAATGTCCCAGAATGGTAAAGGAGGCTGTCATAAAT